AACACACACACACACAGAGAGAGAGAAAGAGAAACACACACACAGAGAGAGAAACACACACACACACAGAGAGAGAGAAACACACACACACACAGAGAGAGAGAAACACACACACACACACAAGTGACTGACAGACAGTGTTGGGAAGATTACTTTGGACAATTACTTTATTAATGTAACGGATTACACTTGATTACTTGTTAACATTTCTAACAAATGTTTTCAACTGTTAATCATCTGAAACATGTAAACCAGGCAGGGTTAACCGTACAGTAGTACACTGGCATCTAAAGATGTTTTGGAAAAAACTGTTAATCTTAAAAATCTAAATATTGAGAAAATCATCTTTAAAGTTGTCCAAATTGCAATGCATATTACTAATCAAACATTAAGTTTTGATATATTTACGGTAGGAGATTTACAAAATATCTTCATGGAACATGATCTTTACTTAATATCCTAATGATTTTTGTCATAAAAGAGAAATGTATAATTGTGACCCATACAATGTATTGTTGGCTATTGCTACAAATATCCCCCAGCGACTCAACACTGCTTCTGTGCTGCAGGGACACAGATAAGCATGTATTAATATAAGCATACTACTCCGTGTCCTAAACTCCTGAAACACTGGTCAGTGCAATTTGGGAAATAAATTAAATTAGTATGTGTGTGAACATATTCAGATGTAACCTCCTTTGTAACTGCTAACATTTTCCTAAGTAACTAATTTAATTACACATTCTTTTCTCAGTAACCGTGACTAATTAGTTAGATTTATTTTGTAATGTTATTTTGGTTACTCTGCAACACTGCTGACAGATGTGTTTAATATGTCACTGAACACTGGACTGAAATCCTGCTATTTTCAGTTTAAAACATGATTTAAAAACATGATTCCTGACCTCAGGTCGCCCTCTAGTGCCACACTACAGATAACACAACATTAGCAGGAGAAATAAAACCACACAAGGAAAAGAGACACATACACCTCATATTTCAGCATAAAATCTAAATCACACATTAAAATCAGCACTATCATGACATATACTTACAATCATACTTTATGAACGCACTTTAACACAACACAATTTAAATAATGCACTGTTTTTGCATGAATGAGAATTTGGGGGAAATCTACTTGCTTGTCATGAAAGCCACAAATCCCCACTGAACTGATTTGATCTGAATAATGACTCGATTGTCTTCTGTAGAGCCGCTTTACAGAGGAACCTGCATTTGTTTCATAATTAATCCATTTTACAACATGAACACTGTTACTGTTTGCTTCTGTGCAGCGTCGCTGTATAAAGCGCTATAGAAATAAATGACTTGAATGACTTGTAATGCCACAAAAATGCAAAAAACAGGTGACATATTCTTTATGAAAAATATAATTTCTTACTTTGTATTCCTTTTGAAGCTATACTTGAAACTACTGATTTTTAACGCAGCAATTAGTATTGTATTAAGCACTATATAAATCAAACAGACTTGAATTGACTTGATTTAATAGTGAATTATGAGCTGAAATTCACGGATTTGTTTTAATTTGAACTAATTAACTTTTTATTTTATTTAAAGTTTACAGTATCGATCTTAACGCTACAATCTTTAAAATAAAAACTCTAAACAAAGATAGAAAATAGTATTTCAGTCAAAAAAATCATGTTTAATTCAATGTGTTACTTGAAATTTCTTTGTAAATATTTGTAAAATATCATTTAACTTCACAAATCACACACATGTGATCATGCATCTAAAATCACACCGCGTAAATCTTATTTTCATCTAATAATTATTAGGCAGGTGCTCTTTTACATATAAAATGAGCCAAAAAAAGAGATTTAAAGAGATTATTGAATGCCCATGAGAAGGATGCAATACTTTTTTTAAATGCAGTGTTGAATAGCTCATGTTTACCAGCTGTTTTCTGCAGTTAGATCAGTTTAGGAGACAGCCAGCCGCTAGTTCTCTCCGTCTGCAGACGCTCGGATGAAGAGATGAAGGAGTTTCTCTACCTCTGAGTGTGTGACGTCAGAGATCTGCCACCATCTCGACTCGGCCTTCTGATCTCACTGGAGGACCCTCACTCCCTCTCACTCCACAGACACTGGAACACCATCATCACACAGCAACAACTGTCCTGCCTGTTTAGTGCTGTCAAGTCATGTTTATTTATCTGTGTCCCTGCAGCACAAAAGCAGTGTTAAGTCGCTGGGGGATATTTGTAGCAATAGCCAACAATACATTGTATGGGTCACAATTATACATTTCTCTTTTATGCCAAAAATCATTAGGATATTAAGTAAAGATCATGTTCCTTGAAGATATTTTGTAAATCTCCTACCGTAAATATATCAAAACTTAATGTTTGATTAGTAATATGCATTGCTAAGAACTTCATTTGGACAACTTTAAAGATGATTTTCTCAATATTTAGATTTTTTTGCATCCTCAGATTCCAGATTTTCGATTTTCAAATATTCTAACAAACCATACATCAATGGAAAGATTATTTATACAGCTTTCAGATAATGCATACATCTCAATTTCTCAATTTCGACCCTTATGACTGGTTTTGTGGTCCAGGGTCACACACACATATATATATATACACGTATAGTTTTTTAAAATGCAATATTCTACTACTTACAATGTAACATTTATGCTTTAATTTTCAAACGTGAAAGCATCAAGTTTTTATTTAGTCAGAGAAGCTCAGGGTGATGGAGATGAACCTTATCAGCAGCAGTGAGTCTGGTCCAGGGTTTGTCCGCGCGCCGGTCATAATCCTGAGCTTCTGCCACCTCCACGTAATCACTGAAGCGGATGAGAATCTTGGCCTCTCTGAGCTCCTCTACGGTGGGCCTCTGACTCAACTGAACACACACACACAGAAACACACTCCTGAAGACGTTGCGTAACTCGCATCTAATGTGTGCCGTGACCCAGAATAGTTGGTTGCTATAGGAACAGAGTCCGGGAAAAGCCAAAAAAGCTCTGGTTTGGGGAAAATCTCCTGCTCTCACCTTCCTGGAGAGCCGTTTCTTCAGCTCGCGCTTCTCCTCCAGCTCCTCCTGCTCGTTCCGTGCTGAACACACAATCAGACACATTCACTCACAACATGAAGCTTTCCTCATCATACTCATACTGGAGTCTGTGAGACGTACGTTTGAGGATGTTCCTCTGCTCCAGCTCTTCTGCTGACGGTCTCTGGCTCAGACGACTGGAGACAGACGATTTAGATCATTTAAAAATCACACAAACATCCTAACCTGATAATAAAGCAATTTAATCATAATTTAATCACTCAAAAAGACATAGCAACATTTTGCTGCTCAGTTTGCTTTCATTTCAAGAAGTAAAGCTGTGTAGTGAGTGTGTGTGTTTGTGTGTGTGTGTGTGTGTGTGTGTGTGAGTGAGTGAGTGAGTGAGTGTGTGTGTGTGAGAGAATGTGTGTGAGTGAGTGTGTGTGTGTGTGTGTGAGAGAATGTGTGTGAGTGAGTGTGTGTGTGTGTGTGTGAGAGAATGTGTGTGAGTGAGTGTGTGTGTGTGTGTGTGAGAGAATGTGTGTGAGTGAGTGTGTGTGTGTGTGTGTGTGAGAGTGTGTGTGTG